CCAACCCCCCCCCCCCCCCGCAATGATTAAAAAAAATTATTATTCTTTCTTGCATTATAAAAACATAATCTTAAATTAGTGATCCTAAATTTCTATGATTAAAAATTTTAATTTTAAAATATTAAGAATCAATAATTCTTCTTCCCCACATTGATTTAAAAAACATTAAAATGTTAGTGCTCCAATGATTTTGTTGGGATAGTATTCTGGTCAAGATATAAAATGTTCTATCAAAATACAAATAGTTACAAATTGGAAATTGTATTTTTTGATGTGGTTGTAACTTGTAACTGAGTCTCGAACTTATTACTATTCCACCTTGGATTTTCTACACAATTTTTCTTACTTTTTTGATTATCCTAAATCTTCATTGTCACAAATGTTATCATGCTCCCCTCCACACCGTGATCTTCTTTGTCACAATCTTTTTTGCATAAATCTGTGTCGTCTCATAAAATATCATCCTATAGAGTTTCCATGTACGATTGCGTAAATGAAAACGTAGGAAGTAAGTCCTCTCTCATTCAAAATCTCTTAGTTTTATGTATAAACAATTTGAATTGTAACACAATATAAGTATGTACTGAGTAAATCGTAAGTTACAATATAAGATTATTTTGATTAAAATAGTAAACCAAGTTACCAAGATAAAGCATAAAAGTCTTATTAAATCTTTTTTCTAATTTGTTTGTTTTAAATATTCAATATTTTAAAATAGTCAAATTGCATGAAAATACTTTTATTTCATATCATAATTAGTCATCTTACCATAAACAAAAGTTCTAGGTAAAATATGCATTGAGTCAATCTCATAGCTAGTATACGTAGTATCCATTTGTCTAAAAATAAAGTACATAATCATGACACGTATAATTCTCTTAGAAAATATAGTCTTAAGTCTTGTAGTCACCTAATTATAAATTATAAATTTCTTTGAGTAATCTCAAAATAGTCTTTTCCAATAAGGTACTAGTATTTTAGCCCGTGGCATGCACGTGGTCGAAAGAATTTAATATCGATTCTGAATTTTTTCAATGCAATATATTTTTTGGAATCAAGTAAATATATTTCTAACACGATTTTTAATCAATAAACAACAATACTAAAGTAGAATATATAATATTTGAGGAATTAAAAGTGTACTCTAGAAAGTCGTTCTAATTCTAATTTTTCTAAAAGACTCTAGGCTACAAAACATTTTTGGTATGGTTTTAAGGATTCCATTGTCATCTAGAACTAATATTTTTAATTATGTATTTGTGTTCACTCGTGAAATAGTAACATAAAGTTGATCATGACTAAATACTGAATTGGTTAAATATAAAACCCTAGAGTATAACAAAAGACAATGTTTGACATTGACTTTTGTTAATAGTCTTAACAAAACATAAGACTATTGAGAATTATCTCTTCTAGAACTTCAGGGGTAGTCCTGAATCAGATGGTACCAAATTTATTCGAGATATGTAAACCTTTTTCACAAATCGATTTCCCAAAACCACAATGGCATTGGTAATGTTCTTTTGCAGCTCATCAACAATTAATATTCCACCATTACACAATCTAGATGTTTAATTGGTCAATATTTTTCAATAACATAATTAGTACCTCCTTTTTAAAACTATTTTATGGTTTTGCATCCATGAACATTTGATTCCATTAAAAAACTAACTGTTACCCAATCATCTTCAACACCTACATTTGAATATGCTTGGCATGAAGAAACTGAACTTAAGTACTCTTTATCTCCTTCTAGAATAGGATTGGACAACTTCATTTACCATTCAACAGCCTCGAGGGCGGGTGCCAATAGTGCATTATTCTAAAACAGATTTAGTTTTCATGTTCTCTAATAGATTTGGATAAAAGAAGTCCACTATAATCTTGAGAAGATATTTGTGTCAAGAATCAAGAATTTAGACAAGATTTCAACGTCAACAATTTCATCAATTTTGGTTAACTAATTCTTAAAACATTACTTGATGACATGACTTGCTGACAAGTCAAAAAAATACTCAATAGATATGCCACATGTCACAATTCTAGAAGCCCAACTCTCAAATTTTATATATAAAGATTTAAAGTAAAAATAAATATTCACATGTAATTTCTTTTAGTCTTACCAATCTATACATTCTCAGAATAAATTTTTTTTGAATTATTATTATTTGAATCTGAGTTCTTTTTTTCAATTTCAAAATATATTATTTAATTTAAATACTTTCCAACTATGAATTAAGATTTAAAAGTTTTTAAACGCGATTATGATGAGAAATTTATGTGTAACAAATACGAAAATTAATTTCCATAGAATAAGAGGGTGTTTGGGAGTGCACTGCTTTTCAGAATTTATTGTTAGACGCCTCGCATACCTCTAGAGGGGGGGGGTGAATAGAGGTGTTGCCCAAAAGACCGGTTTTTTTGCGCGGAAACGTTCTTCACGAATATTCAAC